GCCCATCTCGAGCGTGGCGCGGATGTTTCTCCCGCTTCCGCTGCAATGTGCCTCCCCCGGGCTGTGCCCCAGCAGCACCCATTGCATGGCCGCTGTTAGTGCCGCATAGCGGGTGGATAGAAGTGGATGTGAATTCCCTAAGCAGAGCTGTCCCGCTGGTACGCTTTGGTGTCTGCAATGCAGCGTGTAGTCTGCCTGGTAGAAACCTTGAATTTGTAATTGCCTGTGCGCGCAAGACTAGCCTCTAATTCAGCGCCATGTGTGCACAGGGCAGGTTTAGTGTTAAGGGTGTTTATACTGGGCTTCAGTCAAAGAGTTCACTAAACAACAATGGCAATTCTAATGCTAACGTCTAAGTTACATGTAGATTATTAACACGGGCCTGTTCACTTGTACAAAATGAAAAGTGCTGGTAGTGTTGATGGTTCTTCAATTTCCATGCACAGCACAGGGTAGGCAAATCTACATCTGTGCTAGAAAGCGCCAATGCTGTCCAAGCTGCTAGTAATCTGAAGCAGGATTGTAAGTCATCCAAAGATTTAGTGGATGCTTTTCTGATGAGCGAGCCTGATGAACGTCTTTCAAATGTTCAAAGGGTTTTGTATTATACCGCTTCAGTCCTTCAGTCTGAAATAGCCAAAAGGAAAGCCCCAGAATATTATCCGGCGCCAGCTGATTGTAGTTTAGAGATGTCATCTACCTTTCTGCCCCAGTGGATGCAGGTCCCAGCAATGAGTATAATCATTTAGAAGACATTCAGATAAGATGCCCTCAGTTACAGACCATATAGATTTAACACTGCACAAAAGCCTTGCTGCAGAACTACACCGTGACAGGCTATTCCTTCACTGATTTGATCAGTTATGATGTTTGATCATCATGAGTGCTGCAAAAACTGAAGTAGAAAGACTCCAGGGAGATGTGTCCATCCCAAATGGAATTGTACCGCTACATGCAGATGGAAATCTCATCCATGAAGGAGACAATATAATCACATAGAGACCGTTGATGGAAATACTGTCTTTCATTCAGTAGACAGTGATACTTCAAGAAGTCTCCAGATACTTCTTGTGATGCTGGGCTATCACTGAAATGTGGGGAAGACTGTCGCTCTGCCCGTGCAGATTCTCTTATGCAGCATTTGAAAAGCCTAAAAAACATCTAGAACCAATTCACCATGAAAAATACTTGAGAAAATGAGCTGTGTCTGCTGTCAGCGTTTCCCCTGCACAGAGCTATATACATAGCAAGAGAATAAGGACTGTGATGATAATGTTGACTAGAAATGTCACTACTGCTTTTACCTCTCTATCATACCTGTATGGTGCATGCATTTAGGGTTGGTGATTATTGTGATGCTTTGAGGTTACAAGAAATCCAAATTTGTGCCTTGAAGTAAAACATAGACTAGTCATTACACTAGCAGTTCGAATGTGTTGATGGTGTCATTTATCCCTGTTTTTAATGGCAAGGACTCCACACCTGACCGCAAGTAGTCAAGATGGGCTCCGGAGTGATGTACAGTGCTTGTGCATAGAGAAGATACTTTAAGCTGAGCAAATCAGTGGTGTCTGCTACTCCTTTATCTCAGCTGAGAAAGCTGGAGTCTGTTCTGCCTCACACATCCAAAGAATTATTAGTGAAGTGTCACTTGCAGCATCTCAGGGGCATGTCTACAGCTTTTAGTGACAAGGCTGTCTTGGCGCAGTTGCTAAGAGGCAACGTGTGTGAATGCTGTTTCACAGAAAATACTTCTCCCAATGGGCGCGCTTTCCGACAAAGTGTTCACACCTGCACTTGCCACAAACCTTTGTTGTTCACGCGGCGCAGGGGCGGGAGGGTTAGGCACCCAAAAAGGACAGAAGGTTTGCCAAGCAAGGACAAATCTAGACACCCAGGCGCTCCTGGGGAAGTGTGTGTTGTGACTCAGGCTCACCAACCTGTACTCCCCAGGGAAATGCCCTATCCCCATGGCCACTCCACCTCCCTACTTTTGGAGGGTCCCTTATGCTGCCTTCCTAATACTGCAGCCAGCTACACCCCTGGGGCAACTGGTGATGGCTGTCCAGGGCTGCCTGGGTGGGGCGAGACTTAAACCCACCACCCTGTGCTAATGCCCTATCCCCTAAGCCATGCCAGAACCCACCCTGGTGTGTGGTGCCCCGGGGGAGGTGTGTCGTGCACCCTGGGGAACCGTGCGACACTCCTGGGGGAGGCGTATGTCATGCACTCCTGCTGTGCGGTGGTCCGGGGTTTCGGTAACCGGGTTTGGTTCTTTAAAGGATTTGAAACTACAGACAGAGGAATACTTCTTTTTAGGGTCAAACAAAGATTTTTTATTTTTTCTATTTATAATAAATTTTCCATTTAAATCAATTCACTATTTTTGATTCTTTAAGACAATATACAAAGAAAAAGTAGAAAAACAGTACAGTTAAAAAAACCAAGAAATAACAACTTCTCCTACAGATATACCCTCCTGAGTAACCTTTAAACAAACAAATATATAATACGTTAAGAAAGATAGACGCATTGCTTAGATTCAGGAGATATTCTTTTCTTTATGTTTTTCCTTTCTTTGGATTTTTCGTTGCAACTTACGTCCGGTGTTCGTTCCCCTTTCGGAGCTTATGTGCGGCAGCGAGATTCAACGCTGGGGAGGGAGCCCTGGTTGATCAGACCTGGCTTTTTGGATTCGCAACCCGTCCGCTCTTGGTCTGTTTCAGCCCACCTTATATACCCTGTTTTGGTATTTTGGTATTCCTCCACTCGCCTGACAATTGCTGACATTAGATTTTTGTTGTCTCATTCTGCCTTTACAAAAAACTTTCGGCTGCTCCATTTGGGGTAATCAGCACTTTGTTGCATACTGCTGTCTGAGTTACTTACTTCCCTAAAAGCGGGGTTATTGTTGGTCAATCAAATTTTGTTTTTATTTTTATCTCCTGTATCTGTCAATGCTGCCTTTCCTTTCCACTTACAATTAAACTGGTGCTCATTTGACATATTCTGGGTAGGCCTCAATACCTTCCTTTCACACGGGGGAGGCGTGTGTGACTCCAAGGGGGGGTGCATCGTGCCCCTGGGGGAAGCGTGCGTGGCGCCCTGGGGGAGGCATGTGTGGCACTATGGGCGAGGCATGCGTCGTGCCCCTGGGGGAAGGGGGTGTGGTGCCCTGGGGGGAGGTGTGCGTGGCGCCCCGGGGAGGTGTGCGTGGCGCCCCGGGGAGGCGTGCGTGGTGCCCTGAGGG